TTTAGGCTTTTTAGTTCCTTCTACAACCATTATTGATAACTAAGTAGAAAAAACATAAAAATAAAAAGATAGAGTTAGTTTACAAATTACATTGTACAAATATAAACTACGCTTTAAAGCGTGAACAAAATCATAGGCTTAATTTAACAATTCAATTAGATTTGAATTAACAAAAGCATAGTCTAAAAGTAACTAAACAATGCATAAATTCAGATTCTAATGTGTCACTTGCAATTAGGGAAACAAAACAGTGAAAGCAAAATTTTCAAAACTGATACAAATTTGAGGAATGTCATATAGGAAGAAAATTATTCAATCGCCTATTTACGAAGTTCTAGATTGCCTAATCAACCATAGATTTGTCACAAACAATAATAGAAATTCAAATTTCAACGATAGAAATTAGAAAACGATTGAATTCAACAATACAAAACAAACCTAACAGAGAGAATAGGAGAGGCAGTGAGAGGATAGTGACAATAGAAAGATATAGTGGAGTGATGAGGTTAGTCTGATGGTGAAGGGTGAACAGAGAGAGAGAGAGAATGATGGACGAGAGCACGAGAGATTGAACGGAAAAAGGGAGATGATGGCCGACGATGGGCGCGAGCAAGAACGAGAGTGCTGATGTTTGGGTCGTGATCATCAGCTAATGACCTTTTTTGTTTTTTGTTTTTTTAAATTTTCTTTGTTGGTTTTTGATGTACAATTGATGGGCCGTGCTAGGCCCAAGAATCACGTTTTTTTGCTTTAAAAAACCACATCCTTTTTCTATTTTTCACCATTCATGTTTTTATTCTCCTATTAATTTAATTTAATGTTTTATAATAGGTGTTAATTTAATATTAGGATAGGTTAATCAGATTTTCAATTAATTTGATAATTCTTTTTTTTTATGTCAACTTTGTGATTAAGTTTAAGATTTACTTTTAAGGCTATGAAGCTCAGTAGTACGAGATTCTGCAGTCTTCTGCACATTGATTTTGTGAGGTGGTGCTACTACGGACGCTGAAACTTTAGGTTTTTTAATTCCTTCTACAACCATTATTGATAACTAAGTAGAAAAAACATAAAAATAAAAAGATATAGTTAGTTTACAAATTACATAGTCTAATTTAATAATCCAATTAGATTTGAATTAACACAAGCATAGTCTAAAAGTAACTAAACAATGCATTAATCCATATTATAATGTATCAGTTCAATTAGGGAAACAGAACATTGAAAGCAAAATTTTCAAAACTGATACAAATTTGAGGAATGAATTATTAAATCGCCTATTTACGAAGTTAACATAGATTTGTCACAAACAATAATAGACATTCAAATTTCAACCATAGAAATTAGAAAACAATTGTATTCAACAATACTAAACAAACCTAACAAAAAGAATAGGGGAGGTAGTGAGAGGTTAGTGACAATAGAAAGATATAGCGGAGCGTGGTGACTCGCGAAGGTGGCGGTAGCAGTCAGAAAGGAGTGTGAGTGAGAACAGAGAAGTGGAAGAGTGCCGATGAGATCAAATATAATAAAGGTTTAATTATGTGATTATTAGGATAAGTTTTATATTTTTTACGAGGTGGCATAATTGGAATATAAAATTAAAATGAATATTAATCAAAAGTTTTAATAATATTATTAATATTTATATTTTAAAAATTAAAAAATAAACTAAAATTTAATCAATCATAATGTTTTAAAAATAAAATTAATTAATATTTTTTATATAATATATTAATTAATAATTTCTATTTACTTTTTTAAATTAAGAAAGAAATTAAATAAACAAAAAATTTGTTGAAACATTATAGGCTTATGGCCCAGCAACTATTTCAATTTGTTAGTTTATGAAAATTATATGGAAATTTTACCCCATATCCCTACAATTATACTCATACTTCTACATTAAAAATTTTTGGACCAAAATATCATCGGATAAAAATTTATAATTTTTTTTCATTTGTTCACCGGAAGACTTTTTGCAAGTCTTCCGGTTCATATTTTTTTCATTTGTTCACCGGAAGACTTTTTGGAAGTCTTCTGGTTCACATTTTTTTTCGTTTGTTCACCGGAAGACTTTTTGCAAGTCTTCCCGTTTATTTAAGATTTATTAATTTTATATAAAGACCAATTTAGTGAATTTTTATCTATTATACTTAATATATAAAAATTCTATAAATAGATAATCATTTTCATAATATTTTCTATTTGCTATAATTATTAGAATACTATGAGATTAAAATCATTTATTTTAAATGATCATAATCGTAGAATTTTCTCAAATATCTTATTAATCTTGAAAATTAATAAATAAAATAAATTTAAATATAGGATATAAATTTACATTATTCAATATATTTAATCAAATGAAAACATATGTGATAAATCAATAATGTATTTTAATTTAAAATGATCACAATAAGTTAACTTGCAAAATAATATAAGTAATAAATTAATAATGTATTTTATTTAAAATAATCACAATAATAGAACACGCAAATAATGTGTTTTATTTATAGGACTGATATAGTTTTATTGATTATTTAATTTTGAATACTACTATGAATATAGTATTTAATCTATACTTTAGAACTAACATAATTATAAATATAAAATAATATTGTTTTATTACCCATATTTTTATTTAATTAAAAAAAATTAAGAATATCAATTTATTATTTGTTTTTCATTTTTGTTAGATCTTTTTTTATTTATAACTTTTTTGCATGTTCTATATTGTGCTTGCTTTAAATAAAATATATTATTTATTTATATCTTATATTTTTATTTTATTAAAAATATTAAATAAAGTGAAATTATTACTTATATTTGAATTTGGTTGATTTATTTAATTGAAAGTTCGATTTAGTTTTTGTTTTTCGCAAGTTATATTATTGTGATCATTTTAAATTAAAATAAATTATTGATTTATCACGTATGTTTTCATTTGATTAAATATATTGAATACGGTAAATTTGCAAGTTTAGTAAGATTTGTTTGCAAATTCTAAATATATAATACTAATGTGATAATATTACGATAATTATAACAAATAGAAAATATTTTTAAAAAAAATTCTCTATTTATAGAATTTTTATATATTAAGCATAATAGATAAAAATTTACTAAAATGGTGTTTATATGAAATTAATAAATCTTAAACATCCGGTGAACAAACGAAAAAAGTATAAACCGGTCTTCCGGTGAACAAATGAAAAAAAATTATAAATTTTTATACGAGGATATTTTTGTCCAAAAAATTTTAGTGTAGGGGTATGGGTATAATTGTAGGTGTACGGGGTAAAATTTCCATATTATATCTATATTTCACGTTTATCCTCTGCCCCAACAATTTTGAGAATATTTTAAATTTATTTTTGTTAATTTCACTTTTATTTTTTTTTACTTTTTTACTATTTATTTAAGTTAGTCGAAATTAACAATAAAGAATCCCTACCACTTAAATCAGATAATATGATATGAAGAAATATGATATGTTTATTATGCAAACTAAAAAATTTAACATCGTCAAAAGATGGTTATGGTTAAAAGAACGATGTAAAATGTGAATTTCACAACCATGGATTACCAGATAAATTTGACAAAACGTCATGTTCTACCAAAATATATATGGTTGTCATTGCAATAACGAGGTCTGGAGAATGTGATTTGGATCGCCTAAATATATAAACATAAGAATAAGATTCAAAAAGACATAAGGGGTCCTATAACGAAAATATAACATTCAGATTATGAGAGGTATATTCTAGACCCACCTATAATTAGTGAAGTTGATGAATATATTTCCTAGTGTGTTAATTATGGAATACGTACGAGACAAATAAGTATAGACAATCTTTGTTTGAAGTAGTTGATATGACATCATTTCTAAACTGATACAAATTTGAGGAATGAATTATAAAATCACCTATTTACGAAGTTCTAGATTGCCTAATCAACCATAGATTTGTCACAAACAATAATAGACATTCAAATTTCAACGATAGAAATTAGAAATCGATTGCATTCAACAATACTAAACAAACCTAACAGAGAGAATAAGAGAGGCAGTGAGAGGTTAGTGACAATAGAAAGATATAGCAGAGGGTGGTGGCTCGCGAAGGTGGCGGTAGCGGTTGGAGAGGAGTGTGAGTGAGAACAGAGAAGTGGAGTGGAAGAGTGCCGATGAGAACAAATATAATAAAGGTTTAAATGCGTGATTATTAGGATAAATTTTATATTTTTTTAACTAGGCGGTCTTTTTGGTGTAACCTTTTTTTATTACCAATTTTACCCTTATTTATATGTAACTTACACAATATCTTCTATTAAAATTACTATTATTATCTCTTGCATAACTTTCTATTATTAACTTCCTATATAACTTCCTTTTAAAATTAATATTAAATAAAAAATATCATAAATATTTTTATGTGTGCATTAAAAAAGCGTATTCGTCTGTCTGATAGTATATATAAAGGCAAAATTTATTTTTGCTGTAACCTTTTTTTTATACCAATTTTACCCTTATATGTAATTAGTAGTAGTTTTAATGAAAGTTATTGTGATAAGTTACATATAAGTAAGGGTAAAATTGATATAAAAAAAACTACACTAAAATAAGTTTTGTCTTTATATATGTTATAGATTATAGATTATGTATTGAATTGTATAACTAATAATTATACAACATTTAACGAGTAATTAATGACAAAGCTAGTGACATGCAAGGATCTATAATTATCTAAATCTTTATATGCTGTCAACTCAGGCATAAAAGCATTTTATGTCCCAGCTCCCGATCACGCTTATATTGAGATGAAATGAGCCATAAGCCTTTCAAATAGGCGAAGTGATCAGGGAATAGTACAGTAAAATGAAATTATTTGTTACATAAACCTTCACGAGTAATTAGCTCACTAGATTCTCCTTGCTTACATCTTCATCCGGTAAAAGAAAATTAATCAAAACAAATACAAATAAGATGTCCATATAAGAATCTAAAGAAGAAAATAAACCTCTTCTTGGCAAGCAAGTTTTAGATTATCATATCCTTCTTCAAATGCAGTTGCGTGTATCCACACCCAAAGGTGCCTAGAAGAAGAACTACAGTCCAATCTTTCTGACTTTTCACATAAATCAACATCAGTTGGTCGCCACATATAAGTTACAGGAGCAATTGCCTGAGAAACTGGTGCTCCAACTTGATGAAGCTGTCAATAAAGAAAAATTAATTTTGTTTGACAAAACAACACGGCTCTTTCAACTACAAGAAACGGAAAAAGGATCACTCACCATTGCAGTTCCATAGGTTATACTAGAAAGAACAAAGTCACTGTGATTTCTGGGATGTCTTGCTTCTATGGGAGTGGGCACAAGTACCATTCTTAATACTGAAACTAACGAATTCTGTAAACAGAACAACCTTAAATAAAGCTATGAGAACTAAACCATTATCATCAAAGGCTGAGCCTACAATAATTATAAACTACCTCTGGACCCTCCAATTGAACAGCAGAGTAATAACTCGCATCGTGTACCAGCACCCCTTGTTTGAGCTTTCTCAACAACGCCCTCGATCCTTTCCCTCTAAATAAACACACAAAATGCATGTTAGTGCTTCCAAAAGATGTAAAACATGCACATACTTGTAGCATTAGGTTGCCATAATCCAGTTCAAATACATCGCTACTAAGTAATGCAACCTTGCACAATGAAATTAACAAGATTCAAATTTATCAATTGACTCTTTCGTCGGTTTCTCTTATAAAAAAAAATACCAACCTTCCATGAAGACCCAGAGGAAGGTGGTAACCCCACAATTTGGTCATGGAAAATCGCTTTGCATGCCAAACATGTGTTCTCAGCCTCTTGGTTCCATCTCCAAAAGTACAAAGGCCACTCTCAGGGTTACTCTTAAGTTCATATCTTCGAAGAACACGTCGAGGAAGCTGCATTAGAGACTCCTTATTCAAAACTGATTCAGCGTCAACTTTATCAACTATTCCCAGTTTCTGTCTCTTTCTTCTATGCCCCTTTCTTGCAATTTGGTCATTAAATGATGTTGTTCTTCTTCTCTTGTTCCTTTGAGACTTATAATCATTGCTTAGCCTATTTTCAACAATACACTGAAGGCTATGAAGCTCAGGAGCACGGGATTCTGTAAACTTCTGCACATTGATTTTGCGAGGTGGTGCTACCACGGACGCTGAAACTTTAGGCTTTTTAGTTCCTTCTACAACCATTATTGATAACTAAGTAGAAAAAAACATAAAAATAAAAAGATAGAGTTAGTTTACAAATTACATTGTACAAATATAAACTACACTTTAAAGGGTGAACAAAATCATAGGCTTAATTTAACAATTCAATTAGATTTGAATTAACAAAAGCATAGTCTAAAAGTAACCAAACAATGCATAAATTCAGATTCTAATGTATCACTTGCAATTAGGGAAACAAAACAGTGAAAGCAAAATTTTCAAAACTGATACAAATTTGAGGAATGTTATATAGGAAGAAAACTATTCAATCGCCTATTTACGAAGTTCTAGATTGCCTAATCCACCATAGATTTGTCACAAACAATAATAGACATTCAAATTTCAACGATAGAAATTAGAAAACTATTGCATTTAACAATACAAAACAAACCTAACAGAGAGAATATGAGAGGCAGTGAGAGGATAGTGACAATAGAAAGATATAGCGGATCGTGGTGGCTCGCGGAGGTGGCGGCTCGCGGAGGTGGCGGTAGCGGTAGCGGTCGGAGAGGAGTGTGAGTGAGAACAGAGAAGTGGAAGAGTGCGGATGAGAACAAATATAATAATGGTTTGAATGCGTGATTATTAGGATAAATTTTATATTTTTTAACGAGGTGGCATAATTGGAATATAAAATTAAAATGAATTATTAATCAAAAGTTTTAATAATATTATAAATATTTATATTTTAAAAAAATAAAAAATAAATTAAAATTTAATCAATCATAATGTTTTAAAAATAAAATTAATTTTAAAATTTTTTGCATAATATATTAATTGTAATTTCTATTTACTTTTTTAAATTAGGAAAGAAATTAAATAAACAAAAAATTTTGTCGATACATTATGGGCTTATGGCCCAACAACTATTTCAATTTGTCAGTTTATGAAAAACCCATATTCTTTAACAAATTAATGGCACGGTTATAAACAATCAAGTCCATGTTCAGATTTCCAAAACAAAATAAAAAGTGAACAAAGTTATACACCATTATCAACTTTTTAACAAACACGGTGAAAGAAAAAAAAAAGGAAACACAACCATGAAATGCAACACAACATGAATCAGCCTCTTCCATCAAGACAAATTAAGGTCAAAACATCATTAGCATAAAGAGAGAAAAAAAAGGTCACGAAGAAGATGACCATGGTCAATCGGTTCAATGTTTCCTGTGTCAATCTCACTCTCTTCTCTTGCGTCAATTCGTTCTCGCTCGCTTGTTCAGGTTCGTGGTTGTGTCTCTCAATCTCTTTACTCCTTCCTCTATTTTGTCTCTCTCTGCTTGGTTTGTGTGGTTTTTTTTATGATTGAAGAGTTGTTTGGTTATTGCTTGCGGGTTGAACGAATTTATGAAGAAAGTGAAGATGTGATGAAGGTTGTGGTGAATTTGGCAGAATTTCTTTGGCTCGGAGGCTTGGTGAAATGAAATGAGGAAAGCTCAATTTATATCATAAGGTGAGTCAATTTTAAGTTTGTAATACGTTGACGTTTTTGTACGTTCTATGAGTTTGAAATCGTTGAGGTCGTTTTTTGCAATGATTTTTGTTTGGATGGACTAATGGCTTCTTCTTTTTTTTTTTTTGAAATTTTGTTTGCAATGGTTTTTTGTAATTGATGGACTAAATTTTTGGTAATTTTTGTTGTAATGTGTAATAGGCCTTGTAAAGTGAACTTGATTCTTCTGTTTTTTTTATGGGCCTTGCAAATAGAATCTTCTTACAAGTAACTTAAATTTTGTGATGAATATTTGATTTTGAAATTCAATAAACTTGAAATTAACCATTCTTGTAATGTTTAACCTCCCAATGTAACCATGTATGTCTAACTTCTCAAAGACATTTACACTTAACTTCTTCACTTGAATTGATTCTTGAAAGTAAAATTGATCATGAATCCCTTTTGAATTTGAAATGGATCAAATTGAATCCAAATGAACCTACCATCAAATCAATTCTTAAATTTTGCCACTTGCACTGTTAAACCAATCTTTCACCATGAACTAAATATGCAAGGAATGACTGATGATATAAACTGCATTACAACTGCACTCAAAATCATAATTGATAGATTCCATATGATTTTCCATCATGAAACATTTGAACTCAGCACAACCTATTAACTTGGTCTATACAAATGTGACTTGTAACTGAATCAATTCCACTTTGTCTGACCAAGATTAGGTCAAATTCTACTGACTTTCAACCAATACTGCACATACCTGTTTTGATAGCTTTGTTTGACACCCAACTCATTCTTGTAACACTTGAACTTAGGTAATAAGAAAAGATGACACACACACACACACACACACACACACACACACACACACACATATATATATATATATATTGGATTTTTGAATAATGATTAATAGGTGAAAATACAAATAAAGATAATATACAAGTAGGCCAAATTTGAGGTGTGACAACTATTAATGTATTTTTTTATGGTTGTTTGTTTTATTACTATTAGTATATATTCAATTCATATTATATGATAATTAAGGTTTTTTTTTATTTATTGAATTATATATATATATATATATATATATATATATATATATATATATATATATATATATATATATATATATATATATATATAATTTAGATACATTAATTCATATGATAAATTTAAAATTTAAAATTTGTTTATAATAAAAAGAGAAAATAGAATATACTGACAATGTAAAATATTTTAATATTATGAATTAATAATAAACATGTATTTTATCAAATTGCACATTTATTTTTAAAATATAGATGATAAATATAAATATTTTAATCAGATATATATCCAATATTTTTATAGCGCTACCTTTAAATTTTAATAAAAATGAGATTAAAAATATACAAATTAAATTAAAAAAATCACTTTTTTTCAAAAAAAATCCTCAAATAACTACATTTTTCAAAAATAAAAACCAAACTAAGTACTAACCATTCATAAAACAGAAATAATTTGCCCCTAGAAAAAGCGTCACTGTTTGTGGAATTTTTGAAATTATGATTATTTGAGGATTTTTTTTATAGAAAAAGTGATTATTTAAAGAAAAAATTCTTTTTACGTTCGGACTTTACATAAAAACACTTATTTAAATTATTAAAAAATAATAATTAAAAAACATGAAAAGTGAATCGTAACGAAGAATGCAAGTATTTGAAACTCGTCTGATATCATCATCATCATACGTGATAAAGCCACAATACGCGGTCCACGTCATCATCCTCAACCTCTTTCCCCAAAATACAGAAACAACAAAAATCCTCTCTCTCTCTCTCTCTCTCTCTCTCTCTCTCTCTCTCTCCGATTTGAATCTCGCTGACTCGGAGTCTTCCTCTCTGGATTTCTTATTGAAGATGCGACGCGCTGCATCCAAGAAAACGGGTCAATCCAATTCCAACCCCTCCGTCAATTCCTCCGCCTCGGATCTATTCCGCTCCGGTATTTCATCTTTTTAATTCCTTTCACCTTCCATTTCTATTTGCAAAATTCAAATTTTGTCTGTTAATCCATCTTCAAGTTCGTTGATTTATACTCTACCATGTTTGTTTCTCCTATTTATTCTTTAATTATTCAAATTGAGGTTAAGCTCAGATTAAGGGGTTAGGTTATCTATTCTCATGGTGATGTTAAAGTTGATTTTTTGAAGGTCAACCATTCTTCTTGATGTTTCTTTGAAGGTTAATTTCTGATATAGTTCTGTAGGGTTTGGTTGTATGCAAGGTTTTTGATTCATATGTTTGCAATGTCGATAATCGAGTTGCTTATATGTATTTTGAAGCATATCTGTTGTTTATAATTAATTACATGTGTGTTCTTGCCTCTTTTCTGTTTTGCTATTTTGCTATCATATTGATGATGTTTGTTAAACATAATTGGGCTGGTATGTTCTAATTGTATGGGCGTAATTTTCAGCTTCCAGTAAAGCTACCTCAAAGGAACTGGAGCGAATCGATAGTCTATTTTATTCGTATGCCAATGGATCTAGTGGAGTGATTGAGTAAGTATGCTTCTAGTTATGTGATTCTAAATCTAATTACATCGATACAATAATATTATGCAGTTGATGTTTTCTCAATTCAAATATCAAATCTTGGACATTTATATGTGTGGATTAATAGCATTCAATTAGTGGTTACTTACTGCTGTAAATGAACAAGAGTAGTTTGTTTAAACTCTGATATGCTACAAAGTTATTTCGTCGCTATAACAGTTATTTGACAACACTTTGTACTGCATAGCGCATTGCAGAACAAGAGTGGTGTGTTCAAATTCCAATGCGTTATAGCGTTATAGCACCACTATAGCCGCTGTTTGACAACACTGGTCGTGATCAACCAATGTCATTAGATTTTGCTGACAGACAGGCACATGTATTCCAGTGACAAACAACCACCTTCATGTGGCTTCATTATATGGGTATCATCATGTTCGTGATGTTTTCAATGGACACTCATCTAGATGTTGTGATGTCAATCAAAAGCTGCCACATGCAAAGGAACATGGTGGTGGATGTTAGAACTCTGAAGCGTAGGGGATGATGGTGCTCTGGCTCCTCTATCTGGCAATGCCGACCCTCATCTTTTTTGCTACTTAATTTTTGTCATTTTCCTGCCCATGCCATATTTGACAGTTTCTTGAATTAAATGAGGACATTTAAGACCTATTTTTATATAAATTTTGTTCTGCAACTTCTTATTGAGGGAATTGCATGCTGATTAATGAAGCTTCAGAATGTCTGTTAAAAATTGTTTGGCTGGAATAGTAATTTTATAGATAGATTTTGAACATGGTTGATACGTAGTTGCCTTGAAACTTGGCGTTGGTCCGATGTTGGTCTTACAAGATGGAAAGACTTAAGGTTGTGGTAGCTGAGATACTGGATAGTGTCATCATGTTTTAAAAGGATAATTTTTATTTTTATTTTGCTCAATTTGACTATACTAGCCGATAGTTGCACCAATCACTTGGTAAGAATTGATAATATTCGCTCATGCTATCTGTTTAGATTTGATGAGATTTAAATCACGGATGTAAGTTAGTAGAAAACAAAAGAAACCGATTGTCCGATGAACAAGAATCACTGTGTTTAGAATCCTAGATACTTGCTGGATAAGTGAAGTTTTTTTCTTATGCAATCATATTTTGTACAAGTGTTTACATTTTTAAAGTAGGTTAACTGTATTTTTATAATTTTGTTACAGCCCAGAAGGAATTGAAGCACTTTGTGCTGATATGGAGGTGGATCATACTGATCTGAGGATTTTGATGCTTGCGTGGTAAGCTACAGTTCTTTTCTTAATTGTTCTTTAATGCCATATTCTTATATCTATGTCTTTAGTTTATGTTTGGAGTTAATGAAGACTAAATGTGACAGGAAAATGAAATCCGAGGAGCAGGGATATTTTACCTTGGTATGTATACTATCATGTCCATTGTTCTTAACATTTCTCTCAGAAGTATTTCAATTTTTAAACTTTGGACCCTAAGTACAGTTTCATAGGTCCTTTACTTATTGTTCTCTAACCACAGCGCCTAACATATCAAACTGAACTTAAGTTCTGTCCTTTTATTAATGAAATTTTATACATTAAAGACACCAATATTTGGTAATACCCGGGTCTTGGTTATGTTTGGAACAACACAATCATGTAGTTTTGGTACCTTGTTTCTTTCCCCATCCTTATACTGAATAACTTTAAATGTAACACCTATATATTTTGTAGGATGAGTGGAGGAGAGGCTTAAAAGCACTAAGGGCTGATACAGTAAGTAAATTGAAGAAGGCACTTCCAGACCTAGAAAAGGAGGTATGATTACTCTTGTAGAGTTGTAGATGGATTTCGTTATTTACAAGAAAATATTTTATTATTTGCTAAGTTTTAATTTTTTTTTTAAAATTTGACATCTAATGTGAAGGTCAGGAGGCAGTCAAATTTTTCAGATTTCTATTCTTATGCTTTTCAATATTGTCTAACAGGTAAACATTGATGTGATTTTGGATAAATTGATTTCAGCAATCAACTTTTCTTTTTGCTCATTCACTACACTATATGTCCTATATCTAACTTTTCCAATTTTACCAGAGGAGAAACAGAAAAGCATTGATATAGAGAGCATATGTGAATTACTTACTCTTGTTTTGAGTTCAACATTTCCAGTTCAAGTCAGCTTATTTGTGGAATACTTGAAGGTGAATAATGGATATATCCCATTATTGTTTTTGTTCTTACTTATGATTCTTACTTGTTTTTATCATGTATGGTAGAATCAAAATGATTACAAGGTCATAAACATGGACCAGTGGATGGGTTTTTTCCGGTTTTGCAACGAGGTAGATTCTTTTTCTGCTACTTATAGATTTCTTTTATTATAATAATAATAATTATCAAGAGGGTGATATTGCTTAACCCTGTCACCCACAGTATTCAAATCTTACATGTTTTGTTAATCTGTTGCTACCTGTTGCATTTGTTGTATTCTTAACCTCTATCTTTGGATTTATAATCTTTTCACAGATAAGTTTTCCGTCGCTCAATGACTATGATCCCGAACTTGCATGGCCCTTAATCCTGGATAACTTCGTTGAATGGCTGCGAGAAAAGCACACATAATCTGATATCTTTCAGCCATCTGATTCTCTTACCATGCAATCCCCGGTATGCGAATTCATTAGATGTTTTAACCATTGAGTTTAATAGAGAAATATTGTCAATATAAAATAATTTGACACCGACATCCAATAATAAGACCACGACATTGTAATGTAAGCTTCGAGTTTACAGGGACCATGCATATGTCCTATTTTCTATTAACCATTTATTTATTACTGTTGCGGTTTTTCAACTCTTCATTCTGTTTCTAACTAAAACTTATATAAATTGGTTTTATGACAGCACTCCTTTGAACAAGAAAAGCTGTTGGAATACCAAATCAGATGGGTGCTTTATGGCTCGTTTATTGTACTCAACAAACTATACTGTACTTCTGTTGGCCCAGTTTCTTAATGGGGAGAATTCTAAATATAAACTATTGTTACTTCTATTGAAAAAAAAACATTTCATCTTATAGATGCAGTTGAGGTTAGATACAAACTTGTACTCTGTAATCATTACCAATGCCAACTTCATATATTTTATTCAGATCATTCACCTAAGAGCTTCAATACTCTTATGCCTCTAGTAGTTTGAGAAGTTAATGTAAGGAATATTGATACTAGTCGTATATTTTCATAAACATCAATTATTTTCTTGATCCATGCCATGAAGTTTTTAGTTTACAAAATAAAAAAAGAATGTGTCTCAAATATTTAGTCTTATACATGAAGAAAACATGTTAACTGGTAAATGTTTATAAATATTGCATGTGGCTACTGGCTATAAAAGCTAAAAAGAAACATCAAACAGAGTAACATGGATTTTTACTTGTTTCATTAGTGACAGACATTATTGTGAGTCAAAAGTAGTAGTTCTATAACATATAACTTTGTTGACTGAAATAGAGGTGAAGTTGGAAAAAGTGCATGGTCCAAATAGCTAAAGTGATTACCCTTAAAAGAAAATGAACTATAAGGACACAGACAGAAAATGACAGCACCAATTTTCTTTAGTCTATTGTTTTTCCCTCATAGTGTCACTCACGTTGCCTTTGCAATGTGATATGTATCTAAAGCATGTGTGTAACAGAACTGAACAGAGGACGAAACAGAGTGATTGTCAATAAATGTTAACCATTTATGACTTTGATAGAATAAAAAAACATAATTATTTGCAAACAAACTCATTAATTCATTTTTCGAGCTTTTTTTTAAAAGAATTTAACATTGTCTTGTTTATCTTCGGTAGAGAGTTCGAACCTATGATCGATCGATCTTTAATAAGTAGAGAGTTCGAACCTATGAAATTTTTTTAATTAAACTGAAAGAGATTTCTTAAATATCCTGTGTAATTGCGTATATCATATAGTATATTCATCTTTTTTTATGCTAGAGAATCTCTTTATCTCTTTTTGATGTGTAATTCTATCAACTTTTTCATTTCTTTTTCCTATAATTCCCACCTAACACTTAGATGTGGGCCCCATTTTTTTGATAAAAATAGAAAAGCAGCATGTATGAGTCCAAGAATCCTGCCTGATTTTTCGATATAAAGCCTCATTGGATATAAAAAAAATGATAATAACAATTTCAATTAAAAACTCAATCTACAAAAGCAACTTTTGCAAAATTGATAAAAAATAAAAATGAAAAATTGAAACATTAAGATGAAGAGGAAGTAATAATCAAAGGTGAAGGTGGAGGAAGAGCTCTTCTTGTTCTACTTCTTCCTCTTCTTAAACCAGAGCTAGTAGAAGCTGCTGGTGAAGATGATGCTGAAGGTGTTGAATTTGAAACAGTAACTTTGTTTGATTCACTTGTTAATGCTTGTTTAATTTGTTTCTCTTCTTCACATTGTTTGTCTTCTATTCTATGATGATGTCTAACTTTTGTTGAATTCAATGTTACTGGTAGAACACAATTGCATACAAAACCTGCAACAAATAAAAAAAATAAATTATTATGAGTACTCTTTGATCTTCGCAATTGTAATCGGGAGAAAATTGAAACCATTTGACGGCAGAACTGATCCAAAATCAGATTAGTTATTCCATTGAATCGGATCCTGATCTTGAAAAATAAAAAAATTATTCTCATAACTTTTATTTAATTCTTTGAATTTAAATTTTTAATTAAGATAATTCTTTTGATTAATGATTTTTTGTTTGATTTATAAGTATTGACCATTTATTTAAATTAATACTACATTAAGGTTGGGTCCTTTAATATATATATATATATATATATATATATATATATATATATATATATATATATATATATATATATATATATATATATATATATATATATATATATATATATATATATATATTATTCAAATGATTAGAAATACTGAAATACATGTAAAACCCAAACCTACTTCCATTTTCACCCTATAATATTTAAACTCATTTTTTTTTTTTACAAAAACTATTTATTTCTTGATCTTTCTTCGAGAAAAAATGATTATTTGTTGACTACTTGACTTTTCCCAACTAAAATACCGCCATCATTTCACATTTATAGCAAATTAAAATACCAATAAATTGACCAAAATCAATAAAACGGCTCCATGTTTAAATTTTAAAATTTTTCAAATACTAAAAATAAAAAACAAAGCAAAAATTAAACTTAAAAAAAAAACATGACTTAATCCCAAAGAAGAAGAATTCTAATATTCTAGAATTCAATTCAATCTAAATCTACTTTTCAAATATAAATTATTAAAGAAAAAAGTGAAACTCATTAGTTACTTTCACCTAACCAATTATTAGTATCTTAGAGTGTAAACCAGTTGATCAAATCAATATCCAAACCAAGAAAAAGTATTGAGTAAGCATCATTGCAAAAACTACTTACCAATTCTAGCAAGACGATTAACCCAACTAGGTATAGAATTTCCAGTCAGCTTAACACAAGCATCATTGCAAAAATGGTTACAATTTTTTGTTATCAAATTGTAAGCATTTCCTTTGTACTCACCACCAAGTTTTTCCATCACTTCCCTCACTTGATCAAATTCTTTGTCCGTTTTCCCAATCAATATTGTTTTTCTAAATCTAAAACCTTCACACTTTTTTGGATCTCCTTCAAATATCCCGGTTGATTCATGCTCATGTGCCCCAAATGCATACTCCACACCATGAACTAAAAAACAAAGACAAAATTAAATATTTTATTTAATCTCAATTATCGAAAAAATTCACTTTTCAGATTCATTGAATAACTAATATATTAAACCAACGAAAATATTCTTCTAGATCGTAGATCTGAAGTGGGTTTGGATAAATTAGTAAGAATTAAGTTTTTTTTTTGTTTCGGAAAAATTAAGGTTAATGTTTTTTTGGGAGAAAATGACGAACCTTGAACGCCGGAATGGTAAACTCCGAGACCAAGCCAGTAAGCGTAACCGTTGAACGTTGTCAGATCGTACACGTTAAGATACACCGGCACCGATCCCGGAGCGGTGCCGTTTAGTGAAGCTTTTCCACAAAGTAACATTCTGCGGCGTCGTTTTGCTTCTACTTCTATTTCTTCATCATAGCCGGAACAGTTTTTTCTTTAAAGTTGTTCACTTTTCTCAAATGGGTATCTGAATTTACAGTAAAAAGAGGATGAGAATGAAAATTTGAGTGAGTGGTTTTGTTTTGGGTGCTACTGGGGCTTACCGGCGGCGAGTTTGCCGGTGGAATTATGTGAGCATGGTTTTGTGTGTAACTGTATTTATAAATTGAGGAACCTTTCATTTGTTCTGAAATTACTGTTTTGCCGTTAAACATGAGCTGGAATGGGATGTACGGTATGGTGTATTTTTATTTGTTATTTTGAAATTTTAAAATAAAAAGAAAGTTTGTTTTTTTAAAAAATAAAACAGTAACGTTTGCTAATAATTATAGGCTATGGTGGGGCACCCGGATTGTAAATGAGAGAATAGAAACACTTAAACTACATCATTAATGCATTATTTATAAATATACTGTATTTTATTTTATTTTTATAGAAAATGGATGATGCACAGGCCATATAAATTAATTCTATACTAAAGTAATATATTTTTATTGAATGATAGAGGAAAAAATTTTACATTGTCAAGGTATTTTTATTAAACTCATTTTTTAAGCAGGATTATTTATAAATATTTACAAACTTCTTAAGAATATTAGAATTGACTCTTTTAGATTTTAAAATTTATATGCATTTAAAATATAAATAATTTTTGGAGATTAGAAATAATTCTAAAAAAAAGATTTTAAAATAATCTGGAGATTGGAATCTGGACGAGTTTAAAAGATAACATCCAAATTGAAATTAGGATCACACAATTTTCAAACTAATATGGATTCTAAAATCTGAACTTGGTTCGGAGATTGGAATTTGATGCTTCTATTTAAATAATTTTCGTCTTTTCGTCTCCCTTCAATTTCCATTTTACACAAAATAGCAAAAACAATTAATACGAAGAAAGGATACTCATAAGTGATTATAGAAAAAACTTTTCTATTTTCAAGTGTTCTTATATCAATTACATTGAAACTTATCACTTCTTTGCTCCATTACATTCTACTTATTTGAAGCTTATTTTTATTACATTCATAAGTTTTTATGAATCTCACTTTGATCATTTAGTGCCAGAGAATGTACGACATGTATCATCTCTTCGTCAATGGTGTACGATATACAACTATATCCAATAATACAACTACATCTAATAATACAGCTACATCCAAAATCTCACATCCACTCATGACACTATATGTATAGGGAGATTCCACAAGGCTAACTTATCAAGAGATTTTAGAGGATAAGCAGGTGAGGAAAGAGCATGTTGTTGATATGTTACCAACATGTCATTGCATTGTGGCTATTGGGAAATATGATATAGCTAACAGCGCGTTTGTGGAAGGAAGACCTCAAATGGCCACTCTACATGTCATCTTAGTAGAAATAAGACATGTGTTGCAGTAACAATGACAGATGAAGAGCATGAGCGTCAGATATACTAAGTAGTGAGATTTTATTTTGTATATTTTAATATTTTTATATTATGATTTGTCCTTGGATTAGTTATGACATGGTGACATTTTGTATTTGACTTTTTGACATTTAGATATACTCAATAGTTCTTCTAATTTGATTTTATTATTAAATGTCAAATGCATATGATTTATTGTGAGATTGATTTATAAATGACTTATAATTCAAGTTTATTAAAAAATGTCAAATTTCATATATTTTACTATTAAATGGTGAAAAACACTAACGATAAATTTGAAAATTGAAATTCAGACCTATAATATGAAGATTGAAATCCAAACCAATTTTGTGACATAAACAAGGTTCCTTAGTCATGAAGTAATTTTGTTGAAGAATAGATGCATCTGGAGATTATAATATGAAGTAATTTTCTTCTTGAATTCTACTATTTCTTACAAATTATTTTGTATGAGCAATTAAGTTTCTAGTACAATTATAGTTAACTATAGAAATACACTAATTTATTGGAAAAAAGAAGGCCCTTTGTTTCAAGAGGCTCCACCACTAGTTGTTATTATGTTATTGTTATATAGATTATGTTTAGTGGAGTTTTGATCATAAAGGGAAGATAAGTGAGGGTCATCATTGGTTTTGAGGAAAATATGAGTGGGGTCTAAACTCTATTCATACGATAATGTGTTTATTTAGTTAATTAGTAGTTAACATATTGTTTTTTGGATTAAAGAATTAAGTTAAGAATTGTGACAGTGTTAAATTCATATTTAATGTATTCACTTTTTGGAATCTACCCTTCTATCCAAAGTCAAGTGAAGTGAAAAAAGAATGAAAAGATTAAAGACATTGACCTTAGATTAAGAGAATAGATAGTTAGGTTAGGTATCATTTTTAAGCTTTGGGTTGTAGCTATTGTTGATGATATTAATCATTCATATCATGATAAGACGTTAACCTTACCCTCACGTGGGTATGGTGGTAAATAATGAGACAAAATAATTCTAGTATATGGTTGAGATTGGTTACTTTGATTTCTAAACCAAAAAATGAAATATTTTACCTTTAGTTTTGGGACAAAAGAAGTTTTCATATCCTATTTGGATATTTTCATTTAGTTTGAGTTAATTAAGATACTCGTAAATTCACCTAGAAAAAATCTAGGTAACTCACCAAAATTGAAACATATATGTATTGATTGTATGAAAATTCTTCATCCATCTATATGTTTAAGTGCATGTAAATCTAATGTTTTTTATTTATCGGTATTATATACGAAACATGAAATATATGATTCAGAAGATGAACATTCTAAAAAGTTTTTGATTTAGAAATTGTATTCTTCAACAATTATAAATGAGATATTTGCACAATTAACACTTAAATGTTTACCTTAGTATTTAAGAGAAGTGAAGCTTATACAATTGTGAATGAGAGGAATATAGGCGATAATAATTTCAATGTTAACTTGTTTCTTGAGCAGCAAGGATTTTTACATAGAGATTCAATATAATTATTATTATTTGAGTGACAAGGATTCACGTGTGAGGATCCATCGTAATTTATTATCACTTGGACATAAAGGATGTTCCTTTGTGAGATTCCATCATAATTTATTGGCATTCAAGCTGTAAAGATTTCTACGTGAGGATCCATCGTAATCCATTATCACTTAGGCAACAAAAATTCTTATGTGAGCATCTAACATAACTTATTGCTACTTAGGCAATAAGAAATCATGCGCGAAAATTCAATATAATTTATTGTCACTTGGGCGATAAGGATTTCAACTTGAGGATTCAACGTAACTCATTGCCACTTGGGAGACAAAGATTCTTCTATAACGATCAAACATTCAATCATTATGTCTTTCAATATTGGACCAAAGGTCTCCTCAATTTCATAAAGAAAAGCAAGGCGTCTCATTATAAATATTTATGTATGTAGGGAAAAAGAGTGTCATCCATTAAACGAACAGTGTTTTCAAAATAAATTACACAATCAATAGAAACAATACCTTGCCATAACTAACCAAACTGATAACTTAACCAAGCAAAAAATGACACTAAACCCAACAAACTCTTTCGATTCTGCCTGACATCCTTACCTGTAGGGACGGATCTAGAGCAAAGTCATTAATTTTTTTTTCCTTTAATGCTATTAACATATAATATTTTGAACCCTAATTAATTACTGTTGTAATTAGGGTGCCTTAAAATAAAATATAAACGGTTTCTATATGATCAAGAAACACACAATGACAAAGAAAACAAGGGAAAACAACAAGAATTGGTTATAAACTGCTATTCTTTCCTTTCTCTTTCAAACAAGATTACAAGTATACAAGAATAACAAATAACCCCTCTCTCTTGAATTACGATTTTATCTTTCTATGTTTTCTTATCCAAGATGAGAGACTAACATGCTATTTATAAGAAAATTAGCACACTAACCTAATGAAATTTTTACCAATTATCCATTACAAGCTAACTTAAAAAATTGGGCTTACAAGCAAGTTCCAATTTAACATGCTAACAAACCTAACAATATTGACGAATGCATGTTAGAACAAACTTGACTACAATACACATTACTCCCGAACAGATTTCGATCATACTAGAGTTCAATCCAATATCCCACAAATCTCCACCTTGGATCTAACTCTATAACATCAAGAAACTAGCTTTCTTCATGCAGCTTTATCAACTGCATATAGTGGAAAAACTTCGAAACAGCCTCTGCCGAAAACACCTTCTTCAATCCATCACTAACCAACATGCATCTAACCCTTTTAAGGATTGTTCGATTGAATCTCTCAATTAATGCATTTCGTTGAGGGGTACCTGCTATAGTCTCATGCCTTGCAATCCCATACTCAACACAGTAATTGTCGAATGCTTCGTTGCAGAACTCAAGGTCATTGTCAGTTCTCAACCTCTTAACCTTTCTGACAGTTTGAGTGTCGACCAGAACCATCCAACTTTTGAAATTTTCAAAAGTTTCATCCTTCGTCTCTGAATGAATACCCATAGTAAGTGAACAAATATTAAATTTTTATATAATAAATGCTATTTTTTAATTATTAAAATTTTAGGTGAATTGAATTTCTAGAACTCGTTAAAGTTATGATGGACTTCAAACTTCAAGAATATATTTGATAGTCATTAAATATTTTTTAGAATATGAAAATTAATAAAGAATAAATGTAATTTTTATTAAAAAATCATGTAACTTAAATTTATTTTTCATTATAAGCATGTATTATGTAATATTTATAATATTTTTCAATCAAAATATTTATATAATATTTTTTTGCCCAACTAACTGAAATTTCTAGCTCCTCTAAAATCGTGCAATAAGCGCTTCTTTTTCTAAAGGTCCTCACTTTTTTTCCTTGAGGCTCTGCTTTTGGCTTCACATCCACAACATTTACTTTTCTGCATTTGACTGTTAAACGTGAGTCACAATCATAGTTGCCTTATTCGGCCTCAAGTTGTCTATATAACACCTTTGGA